GAACGCGCCAAAGTGCGCAAAGCCATGGAGAATATGCTACAGAAAGCCGTCCTGAAGATTTTAGCCGTGGTTAGCCGCGATAAGGAGCACATTCCCCCGATTACTACGAGTGATTCGAATCCGTTCCCTTATCGCGTGGTTCTGAACCCCAGATCGGATGGTTGGCAGAATCGCTTCGGGTTATACTGATGCAGGCTAACCCTCCTATCCCTATCACCCTCTACTACTTCTTCCCATCCCAGTCACACACACACACACACACACACACACACACACACACACACACACACACACACACACAAAACATGTGCCCAGGCTACGGTTACCTGGACGCGAATATTGCTATGACATACATGAAAAACGATGCGCAGGGCAGGGCTGGCGCGGCAGGGCGCACATCTCGGTTATGTATGGAATGCTACCTATGTGCTTTTCCCAGGAGTAGCCCGCGCCACCACCACCCTGGTCTATTGATTTCCCATTCCGGCGTCGGTGGCGTCCACAATCACATCAACCAGCTTTGATTCTCTTGCAAGTGTATTTTACCCGCTTTGTTTGCTCCTTTTGAACATGACGTCCGTCTCCTTCAGATTTCGATCCAGAGGATGAAATGTTTCTTATACCCCCCTCATATCCACTACTCACATTTCCCGTTCATCTTCGACAGAGAAGAGAAGAGACAAGGAAGGAATGGTTGAATGAATGACCAGAGAGTCAAGTCAAATCAAGTCATTGACAATTGCTCAATTTTACCAAGAAACGGAGGCATAATGCATCAAAGTATAGCTATAATAATAATAATACCACACAGCTATGGGGGGAGAGAAAGCACAGTGGTGTCCTCTCCCTTTCCAAACCAACCAATCAACGCAAAAAGATTCAACACGCAATTCTACTTAGATTCAAGTCATGGCAATGAAAAAGGAACAGCATGAAAAAGCAACCACACACACACACACACACACAAGGATAGCCCAATTCTCGCCTGACAAGGCTCAAAGTATCGTATCGTATCAATCAATCAATCAATCAATCCATCACACCGCTTCATCCCGTTACATCGAATATTTTTCCAAACATATCGGCTTTGCAAAATTCTCCCGGAGGGAAGTCTTTCGTATTGCCTTTGTTTTGCAAAATTTCCCCCAAAAACATAAACCGAGACACAATCGACTGACTCTGTGAGTTGATCGAGATCAAGTCACAGATTCACCCCGGACTTCACGGTTTAGCTATTTACTGGTCCTTGGCGGCAGCCTCGGCCTGAGCGCGGAGGTTGGCCGAGGTGGAACCGCCCTGGAAGAAGCGGCCGAGCACGGGCTGGATGAAGGAGTGGAAGACAATTTGAGCACCGCTGGAGAAGAGGGTCAGTCTGGTTCTTGGTAATTGCGTGACTGCGGGAGGTGGATAGCTTACTTGGTCTGGGGGAGAGACATCCAGAGGACAAGGGCGAACTTGAAGATGTAGTAGAAGGCTGTATTGAAGAGTCGCGATCAGTTCATGAACGTTCCACTGCCAGAAATCATATCAATCCTTGCGAGTACTTACGGAACCAGTAAGGAGCAGAGATGGCGCTCTCAATGACGGTGAAGAAAGCGTAAACAACCCAGTACTAGAAGAATCACATGCCAATCAGTATACCGCTAGCTGACGAATGCACGTTGTCACGTGCAGAGAGATAACCTAGGCGTATGAAACACCCGAGTTATGTCGAGATAGCGGAGGGATCACGAGTAACATACCGTCAACCACTAAACGCAGAAACATGATCATCAGCACAATTTTTATCTTCAAAAAATAGTAGGGGATAAAAAGATAGAGCATACCTGCGTGTCATCGGCCTTTCCGGCGGTGAACAGAGCGTTCAGGGAGTAGTATCCAGGGATGAGGAAACCAGCGAGGTTGACGAGGAATTCACCGGCGATGTTGAAGAAGACCAGGAAGAAGTAGATGCCGACGAGGCCAAGGATCACGTAAACCTTGGGGACGGAGGTCTGACGCTCCAAGTTGTTGAGGACAGGGTACTTGGAGAGCTAAAGTGTGAAGAGGAGATGGTTAGTATTAGCTTCGAAACTGGCGGCGGCTGAGAAATATGGGAAGTAGGCAGAAATCGGAGAACAACAACACAACTTCATCCCCATCCCCCCCCCAGCTGCGAGGAATCCATTCCGCGACAAATAAACATTGTAAGACAGGAAGAAAAAAGGCTGATACAATGCCGACAGGAAGGAACCTCATCGCAGACCGATTGGGGGGGGAGGACAGGGAGGAATAGGACACAAAACCAGAAAACGCACACACGACTTACCTCCTTGTCGAGCTGGGCAATGGCGTGCTGAGCACGATCCTGGAAAGAGGCCATTTTGGAGGGAAAATGAAGATAGCAGAAGCTGTACTAAGAGAAGAATGAGAGATCTGGCTTCGTAAACTCTTGAGAAAGGGACAGCGAAAGGTCGGATTCGGTCGTTATCAGGGCGCGGCAGAGGGAGAAGAGGAGGACGAACGAGCAGGTGAGATTCGAAAGGACGAGCTGGCGGTTACGGAACCGCCAGCCGGGATGACGGTGGGGTCACGTGATGGGCTCATGACGTCGAGGGCTGGCCATTTGATTGTCCCCCAGATGACGTTCCAGCAGGGCAATCTGTTTGACCGGAATAGTAACTAGCAGATGAGAGAGTTAATCATCACAGGGTGGATCAGATGGGGATGTTGGTCGTGTGCTTGATTTCTTATGATTTTACCCTATTTTCTACTATACAGGGTATGTATGAGTTCTGGAGGGAATTACTTTCCAGACAATTCGATTGATACACTCGGTATCAGCGATGTACTACTAGTACTATGTACTATAAGTGTATGTTACGGGGGGTCTCGTCCGGGCCCCGACGGCACGGCTTTTTTTTTCCTTTCTGTGCAGCGCTTTTTTTTTTTTTTTCTGCTTTGGGGCTCCACTGGGGCTGGATTTATCCCTCACATTAAATAGTGAGTTATTGAATAGTATTAGTTATTGGACGACTCTGATATGGCTATACATAGTACTTATATCTACTGTTTCATTTCCCAACATATGTGTGAGCACACTATCCCGATGTTGAATCATAGTAAAAAAACACTCCAACCACCAAAAAGTATCTTATAAGTAGGTACGTAGTAGATAGAGAAGGGTATCTATCTTCCGACCAGGACAAAATTTAGGGCCTGCTTGAACCTAGTACCAGTAGTAGTAACTAAGGAAGTAGGTACATGAATTCTGCATCTGCATCCATCCCCCATCAACCAATAATCGAACCTCCTTCTCCTCCCCAGTAATAAAGCCCACCTTCTATACATAGTTTAGAGAGAGAGAGAAATCAACCCGGGAGGAAAGAGAGAAGATCCATTCCCGTCCCCATCCAAAAGATCGAACGAATCCCGATCGCCTACCAAAGTTCAGACTGGTTGATACGTAACAAGATCTGCAGTGCATCCAACAAAACAATCCATTCCCACACAGGTCGGAATGCAACTATCCATCTATCTATCTATCTACTTACTTTCTGTAGGTGTGGAAATTCTCTAAAGAGAGAATCACTTAGGTAAGTATAATATAGATACTAGAAGGTGCTATGATTTTCTAGAAACATTCTAGACAACAGGATCTGGTAGAAAGAAGTGGATTATCGTGTTTATGTTTGTGTTTGTGTGTGTGGGCGGAATTAGTTTCCATTCTATCCATACATTGTACTATCCCACCATCCATAAGCCTGTGAACCTGATAGGCAGAGAGGTATTCAGCTAATGAGTTAGCGAACCACGCTTTGCTTTTCAGTTCCTTTCTGGAAACAGGCTGAAACGCGAAGAACTATTGTAAAAAATATATGTCTCCAATGCGAATGTGTAGCTTGTTACTGTGCCAAGTGGATTCTTATGGTGTGTGTGAGTCTCTTGCGACCGAGCTACCAAGCAGATACCCGACCAATGTATCTAAACCCCAGCTGCTTTGGAAAATACACACAATGGCAAGTGTACATTGATAGTATTCTCTTTGTCGGTATCTCACAATCAATCTGTCTACCCTCGTAGCTATAGAATTCCACCCGGCATAATTTTGCACACCCCAACATCAAACATGGTACATTACGTAGGGCTACATTGACCGTCGCTAATAAATCACATAGTTGAAGATCCAATTACAACCAATGTCATCTTCAAAAGCGAGACTCCCCCTGGCAGGCAGAACCCTCCCAGCCGAGCCCGAAGTGACAGTGAAAGATCCACGACCTGCCCGGTCTAGACATCGTCGGCACTCAAATGAGGAAAATGGTAAAAGAGAGAGGAAGAAAAAAACAGGTGTAGTAATAGAAAATTCGAAGAGGATCCCGGGGAGAGAAGTGTAAAAGGAGAAATCGCTCGTCTTCAAATCGAATAGAGCAGTGCGCCATCAACCATCGTCCATCCCCAGCCACCAAAAGGTCACAGGAACGCCATCCACAGAGCAAAAAGTCGGTAGGGAAAAAAAATGGGGGCATATCAAAGACAGATCAAAACAGCATAGAATGTAATGTGCAGGTATTCGAAATTTTTGCAACACGTTAAACCATGTCAAGAAATAACAGCCACTATGTCTTCACCAACGTCTATTAGCAATGTCAATCAGTCTCACTGACGCCATTGCCGGCTCCTGCAGCCGCAGCGTTATCTCGGTTGCCGCTATTAAACGTGAGCTTCAGCTTTGGCGTAGCAACCGCTGAAGGTGTTTCGGCCCCCGAGGCTGCAGCAGTCGACTGATCATTTCCGCCTTGTCCACCCAGGTCATCGTAGTTGGCAAACTGTGGGTAGCCTTCGGTCTCCTTCTGGAGCTCCGCCAAACATTTTGCCTAGGCAATGTTAGTCGCTGCTCAATCTCGTCTGCTTACAGATGTCTACTCACCTCGATATCATTGGCATCCTGGAACAGGATGCTGCCATCCTCGTTGTAAGTCCGGGCATTTTGGCAAAGGAGATGGATGTCATTTCGGAAGTCCTTCAGGCTCTGATACTCCTCACGGTTGATCTTCTTCTTGATCATATCCATGGCGATCGGATTCTGAATGACCATGTAATAGTCGGGATAGTGCGACTTGGGCGGTGGCTTCATGAATGGCTCAATGATGGACCGCGTAACAGGGCCATCCTCACTGTCTGATGAATCGGCCGGCAGCTCCGCCTCCATATCCATTAACGCTTGGTATACGGTGTTGACAATGCGCTGCAGGGTGGCACGATCCTCAGGCGACAGCGTCTCGACCGGCTTGGCTTGTCTTCCCCTCTTCCGCTTTGGCTGAGGCGTTTCCTCCACTACCTCCTCAGCCTTGCGCTTCGGAGCGGGACCCCTGCGACGCTTCTTCGGCTGAGGTGTCTCGGAGTTCTCGCGGGAAGGTTCCGGTGAAGAATCACCCACTGTCTTCTTTTGACGCTTCTCCTTATTGACCCGACGCCGCTCGACCCTCGCCTCCTTCCGAGCGATAGCATCCTCGATCGTGTCATCATCCGCATCCACAGCCATAAGCCATTGTTCCTCAGTAAGACCATCATCATACCGGGTAATCTTGCGTTCACGTGCACCGCGACCAGCTAACTCGACATCGACCTCCTCAGTTACCGGGTTATCCTCCGTAAGATAGATATCGGGCAACTCTTCTTCGCACATCAGACGAGGGTACTTGTGACCAGAACCGTACGGTACGGTCTTCTGTCGGTCTTTATCAATACGCTGGAAAGTAGTCAACTCCTCGTCAGACCGCGCCATAATTTCGTTCAAATCATCATCATCCATTTCTTCCTGATCACCAATCTGATCAGCAGCCTCGGCAGTCTCCAAAAGCGTCCGCAGCAAAGCGTCACGCTCCTCGTTGGTAGACTTGTTGTCGAACTTTCCTGCTTGGATGACCTTGCCATCCATATCAAGCTTGAACTGAGCACGCTCCAAAATCTTCTCCTCAACTGAGTTGGAACTGATCAGACGCAAGATACGAACCTCATTCTTTTGGCCGATACGATGCGCACGATCCTGGGCTTGCAAATCCTGGTGAGGGTTCCAATCAGAATCGAAAATGATGACGGTATCGGCGGACTGAAGATTGAGACCCAAACCTCCCGCACGTGTGGATAGCAGGAAGCAGAAGTATTCCGAGTCTGGGGCGTTGAACAATTTCAACAGATCGGATCGATCGTCTGACTTGGTGGATCCGTCAAGACGGAGATACTTCAATCCACGAAGACGCAAGAAGTCTTCCATGATGTTCATGATCTGGGTCATCTGAAAGAACATCAGGACGCGATGGCCAGTAGCCCGGAACTTGGGCAAAATCCGATCCAAAAGCTCGAATTTACCAGCAGTACGCCAAATCAGATCATTGGTTCCTCGTCCAGGGTTCATCTGGTCTTCCACTGGCTCAAAAACGAAGGGATGGTTGCAGAGTTTTCGCAACTGCATCAGCATGTTGCTGAGACCACGCATACCGGTCTTACCTCCCTTGCCATCGCTGACGGCCATCTTGTTATGTGTAACAAGCTGCCTGTACAGCTTGGCCTGCAATGCAGAGAAACGACACTTGATGACCCTCTCTTGCTTGTCTGGAAGATCCTTCTCGACATCCTTCTTCAGACGTCTCAGCAGGAAGGGCCGCAGAACCTTGTGAAGACGACGAATCACCAGCAGTTGTTCTTCTTCGCTCAGTTCCATACGATCTTGTCCACCTGTGTTGGCAAAGGGCGTGTTGAACCACTCATCAAACGACTTGACAGACTTGAAGATATTGGGCAAAACAAAGTTCAGCAGGGCCCACAGCTCAGGAAGGTTGTTTTGCAAGGGTGTACCGGTCAAAATGAGACGGTAACGGCTGGTGTAGTATTGTGAAAGTGTGCTGCTCAGCTTGGACTGAGTATTCTTCATACGATGACCTTCATCAACAATCATGTGAGTCCACTTGATCTTGCTCAGAATCGGACGATCCTTGATGATGTACTCGTAGGTCGTCAACAGAACCTGGAAGTTGCCCCAACGGATCTGTTGCTGCTGTTGCTTACGGGCATTCGGGGGTCCCTTGTAGACAACACGAGAAACGGACGGCGCCCACTTCTCAAACTCAAGATTCCAGTTGGTAAGGGTACTGAGAGGGACGATGACGAGGAAGGGACCATTGTTCTTCTTCCTCTCGATGATGTAAGTGATTAAACTGATGGTCTGGATGGTCTTTCCGAGACCCATCTCATCAGCTAGAATACCGTTGAGGTTGTTGTTGTAAAGGGAAATCATCCACTGCAGACCCTTCATCTGGTACTCCTTAAGCGTACCACCGACAAGGATACTAGGTTGAACAGTCACCTCCTCCTTGATGCGATGTGCAACGGCATAGTAATCGATCTTCTTCTTTCCGTCGCCTTCATCTTCGCTTCCGGAGGCAATCTCCTCTTCTTCATCTTCTTCGAAGAACTGGTCTTCTTCGCCATAGCGCTCGGCCAGACTTCGTTGTTGCTCCCGAACCGAGGCAGCAAGCTGCTTAAGGAAGTTGTCGGTCTGCTTAAGAAGGTGAGAGATACGAGAATCCTTAGCCTGTCCGAGCAGCTTGAGATACGTTTCCTCGTCGTTGGCCTTAAGAGCCTGGAGACGTTGCTTGGCGGTACGCTCCACACGTCTCTGTTCTTCACGCTCCATGTGCTGGTGGTGCTGAAGCATAGCACGGCCCAGTTTCTGCATACGAGTACGCTGTTGGGCAGCAGCAGTCTGCAACTCGGCACCATGAGTAAGGATAGCCTGGAGATGATCATACTGCTTGCGCTTTTCTCTCGTTTCGCGAGCATCGCGCTGCTGTTTCTCCAACTTCTCGGTAATCCGAGCCTCCCGTAGTGATTGCTTCTTCATACGGCGATGACTCGAACGGTTCGCAGTCATGCCCAGATTGTCAAAATGGAACATCTCATTTTGGATCTGCTTCCGAAAAAGGCGTTGTTTCGGTAAAAGATTGAGCATCTTATATTCGATAAGGGCCTTGAGTTTCACAGAATCGTCTCCAGTGGCGGTATCGCTCTGGCTAGAATCCCACGCGCCAATATTGGTAGGAAGCTCGGCCAACTCCGCCTTTCGTGCGTTGATTCTGTTGTAGAGGGCTATTTCACGTTCTTCGCGCACTTGCTCGAGGTCAATTCCAGGTGGCATCAAGGCGGGAATGCGCATGCGGTTGGCGCGGGAGGCGTGGTCGGTAAAGCTGACAGACTTGGGTATCAGGTCGTAAGGCGACTGGAAGTTCTGGTAGAAATCTTTGTGCTGAGGAGCCTCTGTTGTAGCTGCAGGCTGATCAGGCTTGCTCTGGGCAGTAGCTTCCAAGACGCCTTCTGCTGCCGCGACATTCTCGGACGGAGCAGGAGTCTCCTGCTTCTTCGAAGGGAAAAGTTGCTGCTGAACGCGAGCCGGGATCGGGAGGTTCTTCGATAGCATCTTGAAAGCTAGGATTTGGTTCCTAAGCGTTGCAAGCTGCTCAGCAGAGAAACTGTTTCCAGTTCCAGCCGCGCCCTTCTGAGGTGCGCCCTGGGTTGCAGGCTGTTGACCACCTGTCGCGCTAGCATCTGGTATATTGGTATTCGTCGCGTTGGGAATGGAGGTGTTGCGACCTACGATAGTTCCGAGTCAGTGAGCAAGCCATCAATGTTATATACGATGATAGGAGATGGGACGTACCATTCATGCCATTCGCAGCGACAGCCTCGGTATTCGAGCCATTGAGCTGCTGCTGACGTTGCTGCACCTGCAACTGCTGCTGTTGCATTTGCCTCTGTTTGTGGTAGGCTTGTTGCCGCTGGAAGGCTGATAAAAGATTGTGGGCCTTGAGGTACTCAGGATCATCATGGCGAACGCCTTGTTCCTGCATCTGTTTGAATTTCTATTGAGGAGCCATGTCAGAAGATTTTACATTTGAAAGCCAATTGATTATATACTGAGAGAAAAGAAAGCAAGTAGGATAGAAGGGCGAAGTGATGGCAGTGCTTCCACAAGGGACGGAAAAGCATACCTGGAAGACCTCTTGGATTTGTTGTTGCGTGATGTTTGGCGGCAACGACATGTTTCCAGCCGCCATACTGGGTGCTGACTGGAGAGAAGCCATGGTTTAGCGCGTGGTGGACGTAGTCATAAGCGAAACGACACGCTGGGGGGCGACGTGGAAGCGACCTGGATGCGACAGGCCCCGAACAAGCGCCTAGGGAAACACGTGGGAATTGAGGACGGCGAGGGTAAATGGCAATTCGCGCAGGGAAGGGCGATCGAGTGCGCTAAGTTACTAACGTGGAGGGATGGGGGGCTCCTTATGTCGATGAATGCGACTGGTAGCGGCCTGTATCTGGACCTTGGCGACAAGTTTCGTGATGTTTGGACCAAGCCGGGGGAGACACAGGGCGGTAGGCGACAAAACAGGAGAATCAGGAAGAAGGGGGAAGGGGGTGTAGAACACGAGGATGTAGGGGTAGAAAGGACCCCAGACGGAGGGGCCGCGTTGGAAAAGGCGCGTGGAAGGCCAGTCTGGATGAAATGGAGATGGAGGGGACGGGGCTTTCGCGACTTTCCGTGCTGGTCGGGGAAACTGGCGGTGCTCAGCCTGTGCCTGTAACGAGGAGAGGCAGGCGGCGAGACGTTGGAAGAAGATTTCGTGCCGGGTCACGTGGATTCACTTCCCGCGCTCGTCGCTGACTCAGCTTGGCCTGCTCGCCGGCATACCCGCCTTGGGACTAGCGTCGTGCCCGCCCTCGGCACTCCGCGCTAACATCGGGATACTACGTTAAGGCTAGACTATTCGTGAGGTGCGTATACGAATACGCCAGCATCAAACGCCGATGACTTGATTAAGGCCTATCCCAAGGGCTAAATAATTTACACTACCAACCCGGTCTAAAAAAGAAGAAAAAAAAGAAATGCCTTATCCCTTATCCCTTATGCACCAACACGTCTGTGCAATCATCCACCACAGCTGCTGGTGCAGGCCCGAATTATCGCTGATCATCCCTTTCAGACTACTAGCGACCGTGCGAGGCTTTGCCAACTGAGTCATTAGTTGTATTCATCACTCCCCAGTAGAGATGAATACGGCGCATATGTGGTCACCCAGGCTAGACGGATTTTCCGGAAATCCGTAAGCAACAGTTTGGTATATAGCCCGCCAAATCCTCCAAGCTCCAGCTTGTTCGTAGTAAGATACACCCTGGCCAAATAAAAGAACTCAGTACTCGCCTGCACTGAGAATGGGACGCTTCATGGGAGGCGGTGGCGGCGCAGGCTTCTTGGAGCGGGGAGGCGGGGGTGGAGGGGCCTTCTTGTTCAGTGGTGTGCCGTTCAAGGTAGTAGAGCTGGACTTTCTCGAGACAGCACCTCCATACGAAGAGACTGGAGATGGGTTCCGGCCCATATACGTCCTCTCGGGACTGGTGCCGCTAACAGGACTAGCATCCTCCGACTGCTCCATGTACGGATCAACATATGGTCTGCCCATGGTCCGGGACTGCACGCTATTTCTGCGACCAATATAGTTGTCACTGGCTGCGCGAGATGGCCATTGGTATGTGCCAGGAGATTGCTCTTGGCGCAACTGCGTAGGTCCCTCAAAGGTCGAGGTTCTGTTCAGAACAGGTCTCTGAGAGTAAGCATCTGGCGGGTAGACCTCTCTGGCAGAGGGCTCGATCGAAGATGCCCTGGTCGATCGGATGATAGGACGCAGATCAGCCGTGTTGTCGGTCTCCTCATGTAGTGGTTCATAGCGTTCATGATAGGAATGCGCAGTGTTTGAGCGAGGGCGTCCTGGACGACGGGTGCTGGGAGGCTGAGCTCTACTAGTACGTTAGCATGACGAGGTAGATCAATATGTCGAATATGCTCACCTGTTTGGCCACTCATATTTGAGTTGCAGAAGAACATCACGACAGCGCTCGTGGTAGTCAAGCTGAGCCTCCAAGAACGCTTCCAGGTTCGCAACACCGTCAACTTCGGAATCCTTAATGTCCTGCATGCGCCGAGACACATCATCATTGGCCTCTTCATATTTGACCTTCTGGGTCCGGAGCTCTTCCTCCACGCGGAAGTCTTCCCTCTTCGCCTTCTCCATCTTTGAGAGGGACGTATCGTAGGCCAGACGTCGGCTGTCAAGCTTCTTGCGAGCAGCCTATAGAACATCGGGTCAGCACCTCATACCACTCAATTGGCGCTTGCAAACTCCGTCATACCTGGTACTCTTTCATCTGAGTCAAGGAATGCTCCAGCGACTCAAGCCACCCCGCATTCACCTGCGAGATGTAAGCGTCCTGGAGACGAGCCAGGCGCTCCTCAGCCCTTCCAAGCACTGTGTAATAATGACATTAGAATAGGAATGCGATGTGACATTTGTGTTGGCTTACTGGTCATGCAGCGGCCGTAGTCAGAGTTCGCATCGAAGTCTTCGCCATGGCCAACCATGCTACTACCCAGATGAGCAATGGGCAAGGTCTTTTCCTTATCGTCACCTTCGCTCCGCTTCGAAATGGACTTGATGTAAGAGCCAGTCGCCTTGTGGATACGGTCAATTCCTAGATGAGGGGGGCGCATGAGTCAATAAGCTGGATAAATACCATACGTCTTGAGTGTTGTGATGCTTACCTTCGTGGCGCACGTTCATCTCCGTCTCCATTGCTTTGAAGTCATCAGAGAGGGTGGTTTTGGCCTCTCCGCCCATTCTCTCCCCCGCCCATTGCTTGAAGCGATCGAACTTGCGATTGACGTTCATGTTGACGGATTATGATAGTGGATAGAAAATAGAGTGGGAAAACGAATGTTGTATTGATTCGAGGTTTATGCTTTAGAGAAACGAGGTTACTATGCGACCAGAAACCAAGCTAAACCGTCTAGATGAAGTCTGTTTCTAGAATCGAGGGTTGTTGCAAGAGGGGTTGAAACGAAAGAAACACGATTCGTAAGAAGCACGCTGCTGCGTATGAGACAAAAAGATGGCGCCACAGCCAGGAGGCGAGAAGTGAGAAAGAAAGCAGAAAAAGAAAAGGGTAGGTGGTAGAAAATGGTGCAGCAGAGTTGCGACAGACAAGGAGGAGGGACGGGTTGGGTCTTAAGGGAAGGCTCGAAAAGGGTGACAGGGGAAATTACTAGTTAGCAGGTGGGATCATTTTTTTTTCCATTTACTATTATTATGCCTATTGATTAGTATTAATATTATTATTTTAATTTTATTATTGCTAACCATTATTTTTTTTTTCCGGGCAAGAGAGAATATTATTAGTAAATCCGGGGCAGCGATTGCGACCATGGCAGTGTTGATCGAGGAATGACAGACAGCAACGAGACCACAATGCTATTGCCAATCGCAAGCGGGCCAGACAGCCAGACAACTCTCCAATGGAGAGCTGGTTGCACGGAAAGCGCCACATTGCCTTTTCAAGGTTCCCAGCAGAATTTCTCCCCCACCAACACTCGACAAAACCGACCCGGGAAAAAGAATTTGGTCGCATGGTGACTCTGCCCCATCCCCTTCTATCTTTCACAAGTGGCATGCTTTATGAACTGATTCTACTCTTCCTGAACCCTGAGCAGCCAGTATCTCCAAAGCAACCATCATACGGAACGGAGTGCGAAGCAAACCAAAGTCCCTGTGATGGATGGAGGGTTCGATCCCTCCAATGGCCAGTGGAGGCGGGGCCAGAACCGCCATAATTAAGTTCGGTTGGCCCAGCAGGATGAGGTGTACCTGAAACCTAGCAGCTCCCCTATCTGGAATTTCCAACTAGTGGGTTGGTCTACTTTAGCTGGTTTTAGCCAAGGTACAGATGCAGTCCGGTGGCACAGCCAGTTGATAAGTTGCTGACGAAGGCCTATCATTATCATCGACCAGCAAAACCGGGTTTGTCAAAAGGACCTGAGCGGATCTGGAGGTGTATCAGAATTGAGAAGCGTCATAGGCCAGAGCAGATTCTGGACTGCCGGATGTGACACGCGTTTGTGGGCCATTGCAGTGGGGATCCACTGCCGTCGATTGGCGGTCGATGGCCGATGGTCAGTCCCAAACGTGGTCCTCCATTGGAAGCTCTCTTTGCCACCGGTTGAGTCTCGTTCTATTTTCAGAACAGACTGTGGGCGGCTACCTACCCAGCAGCCAGATGGTCTAGATACACCGTCTTGTGAGTCTGGAAGTCCAGACAGTATCAAAAAGGTTGGTTCATTCGATCAAAGAGTTACTATGATGCTTAAGAAGCTCAGGGTAAAGCTTCTGTTCTTTGTAGGTGGGGCTGCCCCAATGATGAACTGTAGGCTGTGTAGAGATCTCCCACAGGATGTTCGGAAGGAATTCATGAGAAATCCAACAACAAGCAAATATGGTTCAGGGTCCAAAGCGACAGACACGGCAGAATGGGCCCCTACTGTATAGTACGTATTTTGTACCGACAATCCTCCCTCTGATCATGACTCTACACGGTAAGCTGAAAGCGCCAGCGTTGGACGCGATCATCAGACCATGATGCAAGACCCGGTCAATGCATCGACAACAACGGTTATTGGTGAGCCATGAAAGCTTATCTGGCAAGAAACAGTAGGTAAAATTACGACCACGTACCGCTGGAATAGCACTGCAGTGTTCAATTGCATGGCGTTTGCTTTACATTGGGTGAGGGCACAAAGTATCTCAGGATGATCTTATCCGGGGCTCCAAGACATGATTCGTAGATCCTGCGATTAAACCTATCAAGAGTCATGACGACCATGAACCCACATCTCTTTCTCAATCTGAAACAAACATTCGATGCGGAGGTCATGGTCAAACGGGCAACGATCACACCTTGTGTTTGAGAGAGAAAGGAGACCCCTACACGGAGAAAAGTGGGACCCGAGGATCAAAGGCGGGTTAGAGGCACATCTCAACACCACCACAGTGCTCAACGCCTCGGTACTAACGCAGGGATGCTAGCATTCAGTTCCTGCTTCTTATTAAGTACACGAAGGTGAGTCCGCTGCATGAAAGCTCTGTGGAGTAGTTAGTACTAGTACTAGTATGGTTCGAGAAACAAGTTGGTTAGGGCGATAAAATGCTTCGATGTTGTTTTATATATTAGTAGTGAATTGCCCAAGGCACCGAAACAAGCCAGGCCTGACAGACCTAGAAGGCTCGAAAGAAGACAAAGGCGATACTGGATATGGTGGCATACTCACAGGCCAAGGTCTTAAGGTTGCAGCTTGAATAAATGTATGGGAGACGCTCAAGCTGTTTTCTTCGCAGTCACGTGTCGTACGCTCCGCCCCTTCGCTATCATTCCTCTAACTCTCCTATACCTTGAGAATTGGACTGTTCATTAAATATGGCTTCTTCCTTATTTATAGACCTCGATGGAAACCCCCTACACGATAAAGAGGTCTTGGGTTACGGGAGAACTGGGGTAGTGACCTGTCGTGACAATGTCGCGGTCAAGATTCCCTTGAGACATCCGTGGAGTAGCGACGAGGACGTGCAAACAAATAAAGAAGTTCTTGAACGTGAGCAAGGCATCTATCATCGTTTGAATCTTTTCCCAAGGGAGCATATTGACTGTATTGTACCTTGTCTCGGGCTCCACACAAATGCCACACACCTCGGTTATATGGAGAATGGAGATCTACGAACTTACATGGCAGAGAATCAGCCATCTCGTGCACTCCAGATTACATGGTTTCGTCAAATGGCCCAAGCCCTTGAACAGATTCACGATAAACGCGTGCTTGTGGCAGATGTTGCAACTCGCAATTTTCTGCTGGATTCAGATTTATCTATCAAAGTCTGCGACTTCAGCGAAGCATCTCTTTTACCCATTGATACTGTCATGGAAACGGCGGATGACGGTGGATTTTCCATACAAACAGACCTTGGTCAGCTTGGTGCAGTGATGTACGAAGTGATCACTCGACAAAAATGTGACTTCGATCTCTTCCAAGAGGGAATTCCCCTAGACGGCCGAGCTATTTGGCCACGGCGAGACTCACTTCCTAGTACCGATGGGCTCTGGCTCGGCTCAATCATTGAAAAGTGCTGGGTCGAAGGGGGTTTCCAAAACGCACATGCCTTGTCACAGGCACTGTACTCGGTTGATATAGCGCACACCAGTCTCTGGAGCAAGCTAACGTCCATGTCCCTTTGGGATCGCCAAGGCCATTTTAGAAACTCCGTCGTCATGCTTGCAGTGGTAGTCACTGCTGTCGCAATAGCTGGTTCTTGGACCAGAAGTTAGCCATTGACCAGGGGTTGATTCTATATAACAGAGCTTTTCTTGCATGTCGATTAATAGCTGTTTATAGAGAAGATACCTTGAGTTGTTTGGTTTACTTGTACAGCCACCAGAGGCATTCAATCATCAAGATACCCTGTTCCAGGTTATCTACGCTAATTCCAATTCGGGATAAGTGAGTGTCCACCTACAAATTCTGGAGATCAGGGGAGCTCTTAAAATCATCATCAATGCAATTATTTCGATCACATTCAAACCGTGTATCCGCAAATTGAAGGCGGGATCCCAGACAAGTTCAATTGGATGCACTGACAGAACCGACTGGAGCACCAAGCCAATCCATCCCTTGTCTCACTCCACCCCTGAATACGAATACGTAAGTCATCAACATCCGCGGTAAACCCACCACCAAGACATTTATTTAGCAGATACGCGTATACAACCTACTGTGAGGTCCCATTGAGGCAGTGCATGTCATGCGACAGGATCGCATAATCTAAAATCCCCGTTTCCCTTAGAAGGTCTCATTCCTCCTCATCCTAAAACACATCGGGTGCTTAAAACAACTTAAAAAGTATATATCTACAGCGCTCCATCACCCAATGCAAGCGTTTCATCAACCGAACACCCTCCCCCAACGCCAACGCCGTAAGAACCCACTGCACGCCAAGCCAGAAGTTCCTCATGATCTTGCACCGGGTGTACATCCTGCATAGCAACAGTACTAGCAGGAACCATGAACCCATCGTCCTCCTCAGCGGCTAGCAAAACATCAAAGTCATTCCACAGAACAGCCCCATTTCCATGACCACCACATCCATCACTCTCTCCACCAACCCAATCCCTACACGCTCCCTCCCCATCACCACCCATCCCCTTCTTCCCTTTCATGACAATATCACCCACATACCTCCCCACCGTAACGCCCACAACCCTCTTAAACACCCTATGAAAATGACTCGGCGTCAGTCCCGCCTCCGCCGCCAGCATCCGCAACGTCGGTTTCGAGCCCGCTTGCACAGAAGCCCGGATTGTCTGACATGCTCTCTGGACTGAGTGGATCTGCGGATGGAAGATAGTAGTAGTACCACCACCAATACTACTAGGAGTAGTTGTGGTATTACTATTCGCCCCCAACAAGTTGTGGTTGTTGTTATTGTCGATGACAATCTCGGGTTTGCAGCGCTTACAGGGGCGAAACCCTGCGCGCTCGGCCTGCGAGGCTGTATCGTAGAAGCGAACGTTAGCTCGTCGGGCGAGGCGCGCGGGACAGGTTGGGCGGCAGTAGATTTTCGTGGTGAGGACGGCGTATACGAAGGTGCTGGTGTATCTTGGGTCGCGGGTTTGGATGGCGAGCCAGCGGGTGGATGTGGATGATGTGGAGGGGTGTGGTTTTGGGAGGGGGAGAGGGGGGAGGGTTTGGGATGGCGGCATTGTAGATATAGTGGTAGTGGTTATCATTGGGGAGGTATTTTGTATATGTAAGTAGCTGAGCAGTCTGTGGTGATAGTTATATGTTCTTGAATTTCGCCTCCATTTATTCTTGAGCGATATTGGGGTACATGGTATTTGGCTGTGATTGGTCACTTTGAGAGCAAGGTTTCGTATCTCGGTTGCTGCAGTGTCATGCATCATTGACATTTCATCTTACATTTTTCATAGTGATACTATGAGGAAAACAATGGAAGGCCTCTAAAACCTATGTGTTTCCCCCTGATTACATCAGGAGTCTTGTATGATGACAATGAAGAATATATTCAGAGTCTGGTGAGAAAACAGATATATATCCGATCTGAGCACAGGCACTGCGGTAAGAGGATAGTCTGTGCTCAACCATATTCGTAATTAGCAGGAATGTTATGGCGTCTGTCAACTAATCGATCCACAATACCACGTAGTATCTGGGGAGATAGTACTATTATCGGTGGCTGTACTATTGATTCTGGAGAATGGCGGGTATCCAAGGCACCATTGGATATTGTTCGCCTTCAGTCCTGCTAGTAAACAGTGGACAGAAAAATATTACAGTATCCTCGGAAGTTAAACCCCGTCAATCTGTCAGCCTCTGAGCGCTCGCTTACACCTATGTGAAGAGCAGGTAGCGTATAAATACTGATACTAGCAGACCCAGGCAGAAGAGCTGAGCGAAGCAGACGCAATTGCACCATGGGAGTCTAGTTCTAATCCTCGCATGGCTGGCTCAAGATCGATTCTGGTACAAATCGCGCAATACGGTTCCTAAACGGGCCTGAAGACTTGGGAAAAAGATCTTCCTAGTTCTACCGTTTAAAATAGGATATCTCAAAAAAACATGCACCCGGATTTGAATTTTTTGAACCCATTTCTTTTGCTTTGGTCATCATGAGAATATTTGGTGGCCACGACCTAGATTCGCTAAGGACGCGTGGGAGATTATCCGCAGTCGCCTAAGTACATATGCCTCATAGCAAAAGAGCATTTTCAACCCGTCACAAAGAAAACTCCACACAATATCACGCTTAGTCCTTGGTCTTCTGGGTACCACGGAGCAGACCAGTTCTCCGGGCAGCGATAAGACCGGCTTTTTGACCCTGGGCAGCGTAGCGGGAGATGGTCGAGGCCTTACCAATGTGCTGGTGGTTACCACCACCGTGAGGCTGTAGAGAAAACATGTCAGAACCTGTAGATAAATCGACCAAATCATCCAAGGGAGCCTTACGTGATCCACGGGGTTCATGGCAACACCACGGGTCTTGGGCCAAGAGTTGCGCTTGACAGCGAACTTGTGCTTGGCGCGAGAAGCCTCTGTAGGGAATCTGTTAGCCATCAAAGTCCTCTTCCGTAACCGCATTTTCTCCAAAGATAGATCCAATGGAGCCGGATTTTCGGAGACATACTGAGCAAAGGCTTGTCGGTACGACCACCACCAGCGACAATACCGATCATACCACGGGCGGTGTTCTTGACGACCTTCTTGGCACCGGAGGGGAGCTTGACACGGGTCTTGCCCTCCTCAGGGTTGTGGCCGATGACGGTAACGTAGTTACCGGAGGTACGACCAAGAGCACCACGGTCACCAGCCTTCTCCTCGACGTTGGTAACAACGGTACCCTCAGGGACGGAGGCGAGGGGAAGGACGTTTCCGACAGTCAGGGCGGCGTTCTTTCCGGCGTAGACGAATTGACCGGTGTACATGCCCTCGTTGGCGATGAAGGTCTCGGTGATGGTCTTGAACTTGTAGGGGTGACGGAACTGGACCTTGGCGAGGGGAGCACCACGGCCGGGGTCGTGGATGATCTCCTTCACGACACCACGAGTGTATCCATGACGCTCAGCGTAGTCGAGGGTGCGGAACTGGGCAGGAGCCTTGTTGAGACGGGTGTTTGCCGCTGTCGAGCGAGAAAAAATTGTATCAGTAAAAAATTGATCTGGAGATGCAGCGAATTTCGCTTCAATCTGAATTCTGCTGGTCGCACTCACTGAAAATGGATCCACGACCCTTCCTCTGGTTGCGGATCACGCGACCCATGGCGACTGTCTATATAGGAACCTGGACGTTAGTATTGAGAAAGTTCCGCCTGGCGACCTTGTGGTGGGAGAGTTCGAGTTCTCGTACCTCAAAATGCTAAGATTGGGCTTGTCGGGTTGGTGTTGAGAATTCGTCGGCGAAGGGCTGTGTGGGCTTTAGGGTGGAAGTCGCTAATCTAACCGCGCTAGGACTAGTGTGGTTTTGTGGGCGCGGCTGCGTGGCGCGGGTCGCCTTCTTACTAAGACGGTATAACTAACGTTGGACTTAAGCGGTTAACGATCATATCTTGCTTGCATTTGGTGAACTCTGCTATCATCAGAGTAAAGAAAGATTATTATGACTGCAAAGTAGTGAGGTTGCTGATGATATGCAGCCGTTGTCAGTATTTAATTTCCTTCTAGATACATACTGTCCCTTCTTCCTGAATTCCACACTTCATTAACTCGTTCTTATTGAACTGCCGCTTCCCATTCATCTATCCTGTCTCTGTCCCGGTCACTTGCGGTTTAATCATGTCGGATTCCATCTCTTGACAAGCAGTATTCCTCCTGCTGCTGCCACCTGAGATGTCCTTGCAGTGGGCTATTGATTCAAGCCACCGCCTTTTAATATCTGACCCGGGCTGACCTGGCTTAATAGCACTATTGTCTTACTGGCGTCTCTATATTACTTGGATATTTTCTCCATGTAAACAGATCATACTGGTTCAGAATGGTCAAATTTGATCATCCGGGTCAGCGAAACGGGATCTTGATGTTTGCCGCATCTCGTTCCGTCGTTGGGCTTTCTACATGTCCCCGGGCCGCCTCAGGGTCACCCACCGATCCGCAATTTCAAAAGGTCACAAAGTGTACCCGGGCAAACGGGATCTGACGCGCCTGGGGAGACTGCCACAAGGTTATCCTGGCTTCTTCACGCCACCAGGCTGCTTAATGTGGATCGACACACTGTCCTTGTCACATCCAGCGACCCGAATGTTGACAACTTCTTGCAGAACTGTATGTCTGCTTAAGGGAACGTCGCCCAAATGCCCTCAGAAATGATGTTAGGGCAAGACCCAATGTCTGAACCCTGAAGGACTAAGTCGCGCTGTTTGACGATTAGTTACACTCCTTCGTTGTTGGAGCGGATGCTCGGGTAGTATTGATCTATTAAGAGATTCGAATTTCATGATCCAAAGCTACTTTGCACTTAATGACACTCATCGATGAAATCTTCTGAATGTAGTCTGTTCCGCGGACCTGTTGCGCGTTTGATGGAGCTCAGTTCGCGATAGCGAATGTGTTATCGTGATTGGGTGTTGATCATCCCTGGATAAGGGCTGCTCTCGATGATGCCAGACAGGCCAGGCGCGTAAAAGCCGCGCTCCAACCCAAGTAGGTAGCAGTAGCGTAAAGTAGAACTTCTGCCGCGGATTCGCCCGCTCTGTCTTGCCTCACCACCACCACCTGCGGACATCACCACAAACATGTCGAACATGTCCCTCTCAGACTCGGACCTATCGTCGCTTTCGTCGGCGCCTCCGTCCGATGAAGAAACGGGCTCCATGGCCATTGATGAGCCCGTCGGCATCACGAAATACTTCAAGAAGGAGTCCGAATCTCCGCCGCCGAAGCGGGAGCCCTCACCACCCCACGAATATGTGTTGGCGGATAATCCAGATATTGCAGTATGTTCCGGGAGAATTCTACGATGATCAAGACTCTTTTAAAGCTCTTTAGACGCGTTTGGCACGTTTCCTGATCATGTTTGCTGACCTGTCGCAATGTGTAGTTCATTGTAATGTTCCGTGCGCGTTTTAACGATGCGTTCCCGCGATCTACACCACACTTTGGACCACAGGACGTTGAAAGAGGCGTCGCGGAATCTCCTCCAGGCGATCATATTGAGAGATTGTTATGTGCATTTCTTGGATTGGTATTGAACCGGAAGAAGGATGTCGAGTATGACTGCCTCCTACGCCCCAGACCCTACACTCTTGGGAGATCCGACGGGGAGCTCCTTTTCGACCACACATGTGTCAATGCTGGTTACCATACATCAAAGCTAACTCGCTCAATCAATGCGCAGTCGGAATCACTACCAGCGTCCCTTGGAAGAGGCGATCCAAACTCATGCTTCTCAGTGGCCTAAGGCTTGGCAAGGCAAGAACCCTTTGCACGGGGGTCGCACATTCGCAACCATGTCGCCAGAAGAACGCGTACGTCGCCTAACTCGAACCAAAACCACCGAGAGCTCGCATACTGACATTGTCTAGTTGGTGTTACTGAAATCCTTGATCCTCTGGTCCCTTGCCTCGTCCGATGCCATTCAAGCCAAAATCAAAGAGTCCTACAAACAGGCACGCCACGAAGACGACCTGAACCAACCACTCTCCGTCCAACCGTGGGGCCGCGACGGCCTCAAGCGCAGATACTGGCTCATTGAAGGATTGGATGATACACATTTCAGACTGTACCGCGAGGGCAACCCAGCCCTCAAGAATGTTACCTGGTGGAGTATCGCGGGAAATATCCCTGAGTTGAAGGCAGTTGCGGATAGACTTGACGGCGAGAAAAGCATCCACTCCAAGAAACTCAGTGAGCGGATAAGGAACTCTATACCCCGCTTTGAGGGCTCAGAGGAGGTAAGCCGTCGCTTCTATTTGTGGTTCTTTTCATCGGTGCTTACTAGTGGCAGAAACGCAAGCGTCGAGACTACCGGATTGCGCGAAAGGCGGCATTCGCTCGGCCAGAGCCTGGCTTCTCCTTATATGAAGGCCGTACACGCGGAAAGAAACTGAAATACACCTACTCCGATGACGAGGACATCTTCTCTGATGGCCTTCCTTCTACACGGCGCTCAACGCGCAACACCTCCGGAATTTCCACACCCCCAGAACCAGCCGGCCCCAGATTCACAGCCAGTGGTAGGCAAATACGGTCTCGCGCGGGCGGCCTTTATGGCGAGACGTTATTGAGTGGACAACGCGAGGATGGCGATGCTGGCGACGAGGGTAGACCCACAAGGGGTCGGACGACGCGAGCAAATGGATATACAGAGTACGACGATGAAGAAATGGATGAAGGTTCGGAAGGAGGACAATCCAGCGGAAATGAGTGGCAAGGGAACGAAGGCGAGGAAGAAGAGGACAACGAATTCGAGGGCGACGACGAAGAGGAGCTGAGTGGTGATGAAGCAGTGATGAACGGAGAACCACCAAGCCTTGTGGTACAACTCAGGTACAATAAGGACAAGGTCCCAAGTAGCCCCAATGGCCCAACAGAGGAACCCTTACAGCAAGATCCGAAGAGCATGGAGGATGTGGCTAAACCGGTCACGGCGACCGGTGCGGAAGATGCACTGCAAGGACAACCACCACCCGCAGTGAACGGGCAGAGCTCCCAACCAGACGTTGTCGCAAAGACTCTACCGGATGCTGCGCCCGCAGCCCAAGATGTCACCACAACTGACACTTCTGCCAAAGTCGATGTATCGCAGCCGACTGCGACTGAGACGAAGACCCAAACAGCTTAGAAAGAATGAAATTAGGCAAGACTCATATACTACAACAAACTCAGTACCAATGGTCGATTCCCCTGGTCTCGATAGAGTTATCCACCGAAATACGATATTTCTTGTCAGACTTGAGATATAACTCGCTCACATCTTTCTTCAAGGCGTTTTCTGTTCGTGGGTGGTATTTGTCGGGTCAAGCTTTGCGGCAAAAAATTGTGCTGTTATTAGAAATGCGACGTGTGTGATATGGAATTCTACCGTGACTGCTATATAGCAGGATGAATATGGGCGTGAATCTTGAATCGATCGGTATCGGTTTTAGAGAGATGAGGGATTATTTGACCCCAAGATATAATCTGTCATACTACTACTATATGGAATACCAGATGGACGGACGGACCTCTTGCTAGGGCTGCTATGCGCTATGTACAGTATTTAAATTGCAAGTTTGGGATGAAACAATAGAAGTCTCGTATCCCTTGGGTGTAAATACTAGAGATATTGTGTAGGAAAATTGAAAGCTCCAGGCTATATAAGGGGAAGCTTAATATCAATGAGAAACGCCGTACGCTAAACTCCCAAAATGCAGACTTTACTAGACACCCACAGTCACGTCGAATACCTTTGACAACCATACATATAAATCACTCAAAAAGACGACCTAGTCAGCACCGGCATTCGAGAACTGGGCCGTGTAGAACTGCAAGAACTCCGCAAATGTCAGTGTCTGTCTCATTGGTTTGAATGACCGAAACTCTCGGCTTAGAGGAATGAAGTCCTTGGAATAAAACTATCCCAAGGACGGATAATGGCATGAATGCACTCACGTCTTCCACCTTCGCCGCAATGCGAGGATCCTTAGCCGATCGCAGGGGAGGCAACTTCCAGTTGTTCACCTCATACCACCATCTCCGGATCTTGCTACCGAGTGTCTGGCCACTAAGGGACGCGTTGCGGTTCCAGAATCGCCAACCGGAGAGGGCGAGAGTCCAGACGGTGCCCTGGATAAGAGGGAGGAGGACCTAGAGCGCATTTGTGTCAGTTTGAAGACTCTTTTGCTTCCAGTGGAATCCTGCAAGACAGGCAGGTAACCTACCTGGTCTCTTATGGTGATCCAAGCTACTCGGCCCCAGGTATCAGCTCCCCGCAAGCTGGCGAGATAGCTCTGTTCGAAGCGCAGATCGGGCAATGGGGGCAGCTGGTGTCGTCGTGAAACGGGCTTGATCATGCGATGAGGGGCGACGACATCGGAGGGGATACTGCCTGCTTCGGAGGCGACATCGTCTTCCACGACGGGCTGCTTCTCGGAGGCTGCGGTGGGCGGGTTGACGTCGTGTTCCGCGGACGGCTCCGGGTTGATGGAGGCGGTTTGGATGACTTCGGGGATTTGGAGGGCGGGGTCGGTCATGATGGGTGGTAGATCTGTTTAAGGGGCAGATGAATGTGTGAATGGGAGGATTTCGGACCCGCGGGTTTTGACACCGGGTGGAATTTAGACTTGTAGATAGTAAGATTGAGCGTATAGACTAAAAGCAAGTAGGGGAGGAATGATGGGATAGTCCGGGCACGGAGTAACTTGTTGGTTCCTGCGGCCAATCAGCGGGAGGCAGCCATTACGCCCGCCTTTTTGGATTCTGCATGGCTGCCCCTCCTTGACTTGGTATATCTCTCGCTGCTCTCTCTCCCTCTTCTCTCTTCCCTTCTTTCTCCCTTTCTATACCCTCCCCCGCTTTTTCTATACTCTCTACCTCTTTTCTCCCCCATCTTCTTCCACTCCACCCTCCACAATGGCTGCTGCTCAAGGTTACCCTCTTCTGTGCCTGGAGAACCCCCTCCTCGGTGCGTGAGATTTCCCCTCCGTCTCTTTCTCTCGCTGCTTACTATCCCCGGATCTTACATTGTTCAATGGGCTAACTTCCGGTATTTTGATTGCTTTCTATAGACATCCAGGCTGTCGGGTATGTTACTTCATCCGGAAACCCTAAACCATAATTAATCTCTCTTCAAAGTATTCTAACATTGTCACTAGTGATGCCGCCCTTCTGCAGAAGTATGGCCTGAAGGACAACGATGCTATCCTTGCTGAGGACAAGCACATGGGTCTCTACGATGAGCTGTTCGCCAAGAACGATGTCAAGCTGATCGCCGGTGGTGCTGCCCAGAACACTGCCCGTGGTGCCCAGGTACTTAGACTACCCTGAACCCTTCCACCAAGGCATACGGACGAATGTTAATGTGATGCCGAACTAGTACGCTCTTCCCGCCAGCTCCGTCTGCTACATCGGATGTGTTGGCCGTGACAAGTACGCCGAGATCCTGAAGGAGGCTTGCGAGCAGGCCGGTGTCCACACCGAGTACCGTGTCGATGATGCCCAGCCCACCGGCAAGTGCGGTGTCATCATCACCGGCCACAACCGCAGCATGTGCACCCACCTTGCTGCCGCCAACGAGTACAAGATCGAGCACTTGAAGCAGCCTCACATCTGGTCTCTCGTTGAGAAGGCTCAGTTCTACTACGTCGGTGGCTTCCACCTTACCGTCTGCGTTCCTGCCATCCAGGCCCTCGGTGAGGAAGCTGCTGCTAAGAACAAGGTATGGTCAATCCCATAGGATCTTGTTGACAACTTGCTGACCAGAAATCGATTACAGGTCTTCATGCTCAACCTCTCTGCCCCCTTCATTGCCCAGTTCTTCAAGGACCAGCTGGACAGCGTCCTCCCCTACACCGACTACACCTTCTGTAACGAGACCGAGGCTCGTGCTTTCTCTGAGAGCCACAGCTGGGGCACCGACGACGTCGTCGAGATCGCCAAGAAGCTGGCTCAGCTCCCCAAGAAGAACTCCAACCGTCCTCGTACCGCCATTGTGACCCAGGGCACCCTCCCCACTGTCGCTGCCACCGTTAAGCCCACCGGTGAGGTCGAGGTCAAGGAGATCCCCGTCCGTGAGATTCCCAAGGAGAGCATCAACGACACCAACGGTGCTGGGTAAGTAACGAACCTCTTATACAAACTCAACCGCTAGAATCAAAATCTAACCGCCACACAGTGACGCCTTCTGCGGTGGTTTCTGCGCCGGTATCGTCCAGGGCAAGTCCCTCGAGGACAGCATCGACATGGGCCAGTGGCTCGCTTCCCTCAGCATCCAGGAGCTGGGTGCCTCGTAAGTCCCCAAACCAGCCCTATCCATCCATCATACACATGTTCTGGCAGTGACTGACCCGAAATGCCCGATATCTAGTTTCCCCTTCCCCAAGCAGGCCTACACCCCTATCAACCGCTCCTAAGCATCCTCCACCAAACACCCACCTTCGGAATCGTGGAGCCATAGCTGATACCTTTTTCTCTCTCATCTACAAAAAATTTCCTATTTTCCCTCCTCTTCTCTTCTAAAGATTCAACCTTCTATACCCCTCACGTCCTTGACTTAACGTCTTAGACTATGCTGTTTTCATCAACGGTCTATGTATGCGGATCCTCGCTATCACGCTTTCCCTTTGGGTTTTATTTTTCATGATGATGGATAGATATTGCAGAGTTGCAGATGATGACGTTCTCAACAACGAATTTAATGAAGAATTTATCTTGGTTGTATATATAATATATACTACAAAATCAGTCGAAACATTTCGATCTGTTTTGGGACTTTCTTGGCTTAAAGTGGAAACTAGTGATATCGTATTGGTAGTAGAATACTAACCTATGATGATGACATGAGGCCTGTAAAGGATAGGAGAGCCAAGTCACAATAGTGGCTATGACTAGGGAGTGAGGAGAAAGACAAATAAGGATAAGATGAATTCGAATTCTTCTTGTAACGCTTGCAAGTGCACGATTCATCCATGCCGTGGCCTCATATATATAGCTAGCTAGCTGCATGCAGTTTAATCATTCTCCCCATCCTCCTCACCCTCATCAGTGCACAAGCGTCAAGACCTTGAGATCATTATCATCATCGTCATCATCGTATCCCAGGCACAGTCAAATCTCATCAACAAGCCCTTTTATTCTGCGATAACCCGCCGGTGACGGCTATGGATGGACGAGCATCATCCAATCCTATGGTATTCGGATCACGCCATTGTCGGGACCTGAGCTGTGGTAATGAGTGACGAAGGGTCTGCATAGCAATGACCATTCCTCCTCTTTATTCCTACCAAGCCTTCCTTTGCCAGCCAGATCCGACTACAAAAGGATTGAGATTTCGGAGATAGATGGATAGGGTCGGTCACTCAGTCCTTGGGACACACAGCTAGACAGTCGCATGCTTCCTCAATCCTGCTCATGTGTCTGCGAAAGAGGTGCTGAAATATGAGTAGCCATACTGACCCACCCACAGAACTTGGTTGAGTGGTACAGTCTTTGAGATCAGCCTCCGTGGCCGCAGGGAGGAGTCTGCCCGATGGCACCGTATTGCGTGGCGGATTTACGAGTGTTGGTGAACCCGGGACTGGAAAACCCTGCTCCGGAGGGGAAACTGCTGGCGATGAATGCATTATTGGCCCAAGATGCATTACTTAGTCCGCTGGACATGGGTTGGCTGGACACTCCTAAGGAACCAGGTGTGTTTGCAGCGGCGTCTACTAAGCTTTGATCCCATGAGAATCCAGAAAGGCGGTGGTGCGACGTAGAGTTGGGCGAGGGCATCCAGGAGGAGGGTATGGTACTAGGTCCATTGAGCGGACTGTGCCTCAAGGCTTGATTCATCATGCTCTGCCGGAGCATGCGCTCATTCTCGCTAGCGATCATATCCTGAGATGCTGGATTGTTCCCCAAGGCTTGGTTTATCATGCTCTGCCGGAGCATGTGCTCATTAGCAATCATATCCTGAGATGGTAGATGATGATTGGGACTGGCGATGTTTCCAGGCAGCATGGAAGCCGGGTACTGTTGTCCCAGACCTGGCGGAGTCCGTGGCGAAGGCGCATCACCGAGTTCCGGCGATAGAGCCGTGTTCCAAATGCTTGGGATACCAGGAAGGGCAGGCCGGGCGGCGTAAGAGTGGGAAGACGACACTCGGACGAGAGGTGCAGAGCCAGTCACGGGTGGTACGAGTCCAGGGGGAGCAGCAGGGGTCTGCCTGGGAAGGAGATCCTCTGGGAAGATCGAATCCATACTTGAATCGAAGAACTGGCTGGATGGTCGCTGTTGATTGCTGCTCCGTGGAAAAGCCAGCTGCTCTGGTACAGCCGGGGCATTCTCGTAGGTGTCGGATTCTACTAATCGTTCCACACCTTCAACGATCCGATGCATGCTAGCTGACATCGATGCGGAGGCGGCCTGTGAACCACCAAAGACACTCCTAGTGTCAACATTGTGGCTGGGATCAGGGGCTGCCTTTTGGATGTCGTCCCGTTCAATACTAGCGGATGAGATCGTATGGTGATGGCCGGAGGGACTGGCGAAGAACTGCGAAGGGAGCCCTTCTTCTTGGTAAATAAACGTTTTCTTGTCTTCATCGTCCACCAGGGCAATGGGTATTTTCTGAGCAGACAGTAGTTAGCATGGCGATTGAGGATAACAATAAGCACGTAGTATCCATACATTGCTCACAACGAGATCCAAGCCATCAATAACAAACTCGCGGATTCGGTAGAGCATCTCCATATTGGGGTGATTCCGTTCTACCCCAGGATCGTTCATTCGGGGCTTCTGCTGGCCAGTCGAGCTGAAGTACCTCCGGGAAGTTGCCTCTTTGGCCAAGGGCGCAAAACACAAGGTCTCTTCATCCTCTTCCAGCAAATAGTCGATCTCAGGCAGATGCACTACATCGAACGTCGACGCAAGAAGGGTTAAAGTGTTGGCATAGATCTTCCAGAACTCGATGATCTGGACTGCTAGAGGACTGTCCTTTTCCCCTTGGTAGGACACCAATAGGCTGCTGGCTGTAAGGAGCCAAGAGCTGTAGTTTCGTAGCGCCGGAAGGACACGTCGTGCAACGACAGTAACCTTATCAGGTCCGGTTTGGGCGTCTTTGTTGCTGGGGTCCTCAACCGCAAAGCGTTCGACTTCGGCCAGGAGAATCTGGAGCAATGTGAAGAATGTCTTCACGTTGATCCGTTGGAAGAAGGAACGCGCATTGGACGTGGAATCATCTAGTACTTTGGTTCAATGCACGCTTCTATTAACGGGAAAGTCGAGAAACCTACCGCTCGTATGTGTCCGCGAGAACTCCTCGGCAGCGATGTTGATCAGGCAGAACTTTTGCAAAGTACCTTCCAGAGAGCGTTCCTTCAAATCCACAGCAAGTTGATTCAGGACTTCACTTTCAAGCTCGTCGTGTTCAGGGAAATCAATCCCTCTGTAACACTGCGCGTGAAGGTATACAAACCAAGGGGCCAATGACCTGCCGGGAATGCCAGCGTCTTCGGGTCGAATCAACTCTCGTTTGACCCACGCATTCATGACCTTTCTGAATTCAATCTCAAGATTACCCTTGGCCGAAGGATGGGGCTCCTGAGCGGCCAACGCTCTATACAGATGATAAGTGGCCCTTAGATGGTTTCCGTCGGCGAGGGCAATAACCGCCAATTGATTATGAGGGGCACCGGACGCGGGGTAAATCAATGTGGCCAGGTCGTAGTAACCTATGGCTGGACCCCAATTGCGGTTTTTGCTGACCAGTTCGGTCTCGCGGTAGCGCGAGAGATCTCCGAGACGGATGAGGGTCGAATGGCATGATTGAAGAATGTGCCTTTTGAGGGCTTCGGAAGTTCGGATCGGAGGCTCCGCGGATAGATCTGAGAAAGAAACATGGCTTTGCTCAACGAAAGCCCAGGAATAAATGGGGATGACAATGCTCACTGTCAGAATTGAATTTCCGCGCGACCTTTTCTAGCTCCGGAATGCCTCCAAAGTGGGAGGACAATTGTTGAATGAAGGCTCGATAGAATCGTTGACTTGATTTGATGAACTCGAGGTAGTGTTTCTCGAGCTTCCGCCTTTCTACCGGCTTTTTCTTCTTTCCGCTTTCCTCCCGGAACTATAATTGACATCACATATTAGACATTGGCGGGCAGCGAACGAGCAGGATCTCATGCGACACTCACGCGAGAGAGCAATTTGCGGAATCGGGTGTTGATCTTGAGATGCGCATCCCACAGGCGAGGTTCGACATCGACAGAGCGGGCAGTCTCGAAGTCTTGAAGGATAGCATTTTGACAAGTAGAGCGGAATCTGCGACGGCGAGGAAGGAAGGACAGAGACGGTCAGATGATTCTGCGCGCAAACCCAAAGCACCGCAAGACGGCAGGAGAGGGGGCAGCAACTAACTCCGAAAGGTAATGGGAAATTTCAGCAAACGTGGGCTCTTTCTCGGCAAGGCTCTTGAGGAGCTCCTTTTCGACTTCGAGCGCAGTTCTGTATGATGCGGAATTTGGCATTAGAGACACGGGTCCACACACGGTTTGAGGGGAACAAGAAGAATGATTGTAAAAGAAGTAGTGACAGTGAGAGATCGGCAAAGGGGAATACTAACTGCCACGTATTTTGGAACGCGGACGCCATGCTCAGGACCAAAAGAGATCACACCCGTGTCAGTCTAACGGTGACATTCGCCCGTCAGATGGCTATGGCTGGCTGGGAGTCTGCGGGCGACAGGAACAGTGAACGAGCCATCAGTCAGTAAGACTAGTATATACAAAAAAGAGCGAGGGCGTGGAGGGCGGTCAGGATCCCGGAGTGACAGCCACTGGAAGTGAAGGGAAGAAGCAGGAGGAGGAGGATGTGGATGCAGCGATGAGGATGGACCCCGAAGCGCGAAGACGAACAACGGAGGGGTTCGCGGCCGCCGCTCGTTGGAGAGAAAATCCCATATCACGGGAACTTTTCGACGCTCGTCCGAAAATTGGTTGAATGGCTCGGGATGCTTTGCCCGGCCGTCTTTTTTTGTGGCTAGTTAGGGATTTTAACATGTGTGATTGGTTGGATGGGTTGTGGCTGGTGATCCGGTTCAGGCACCGAACCGTTTTCTCGAGTTCTCTTTCCTTACAGTACGAGAACGCCAATACCATTTGGCAGATTTGCAAATCATCAACTTGTGATAGATGCATAACTATTCACTATGCGGTATTTTAGTAGTTCCCGGATATACTTCGATATTATGTTACTTTTCAGCTGGATGGGAACCTGAGGATCCACACTGCAGATACTCTTTGCAGAGAAGATCCCTATACTATTAGCACTGTATCTGCATATTGGAGTATCCTACTCTTAACATTTCTTTCCCCATGCATTGTCTAAGTAACTACTTACTACCATAGCCAACTATAATTGACAAGTCCTCTGGCAATCTCCATCACAAAGGTACTCAACCTCCCAGTTCCGGACTTTCCATCATCCATTCCTCCACTAATCGCGGAAGCTATGACATCCGCTAAAAAAAGTATCCCACTTCCAGTCTAGAACCAATCCAGCCTAGTGGCTCATCAAATATTCGCTGGGCATTCCTCCATATTCCATTTCTTATACTATAACAATAACACTACACTATCAATCACAATCTTGTAAATTTCTACTACACCCTACTACATTAATATCTCGTAAGCAATCAACATCTCTTCACCCTTCAAACAAACAAGAAAGAATCCCCAACTAACCCACACATCCAGACAAACCAACCACATTACTACTACTTACCCCAATCTGCACACTTCATTGCAACTGCAGCCCATCCAAACTAAACCAAACCCTGACCTATCACAGTCCCCCAAACACCTCACCATCATCCACCAGCAACCCAGCACCACCACTTCATACAAAAGACAACCCCAGGAAAAAGAAATAAAATGTCCAAACGCTCACGAAGCACATCCCCATCCCCATCATCACCCTCACCTTCACCATCACCACATTCCTCCTCACCCACCCGTCCCAAAATCCCCTCCTTAGATCCCACAGCCACATCCCCCAACCAGGAAGTCATGCACTGCTCTCTACCGCCCCATCGGGAAACTATCTCGTTTACGTCCTATGAAGACTACGAGGTGCATTACCGCCAGGCACACGTGAATCGGTGTTCGCAGTGTGGGAAGAATTTCCCGACGGAGAGGTTTCTGAATCTTCATATTGAAGAGAATCATGATGCGTTGGTAGCGACGAGGAGGGAGAGGGGGGAGAAGACTGTACGTTATTACCCTTTCTTTTTTGCCCTTGTCTCTATGTTCGATGTTCTGATGCTAATGGCTATAACATGCAGTATGCATGCTTCGTCGAAGATTGCGAACGCGTATGCTCTACGCCTCAAAAACGCAGAATGCATTTGATTGACAAGCATATGTTTCATAAGGTATAATATGATCTCTCCTGCCATCTTTTTACTCCATGTCTACTGAAACCTATAGCTAATGTATGTATCCAGACTTACAACTTCTACATTGTCAACGACGGCATCGACAAGCAGACCTCTCTACTGAGGACACCGCATGACCATCGTCGGCGGTTATCTTCAGCTGCTACGGGTCCTACTTCACCGAAGGAAGGGCGGTTACGGTTTCGTCAGACTTCCATATCCCAGGCTGATTCTGGTGCGGGTGCGCAGAAAGGCTCTTCTCCGTCTACTACTTCTCGACAAGGTGCTGCTGCTCCTGCTGCTCCTGCCCCGGCTGGTGATGAGGGGATGGCGGAGCTGGAGAGGTCTATGTCTGCGTTGCGGTTTGTTCCGGCTAGTGTGGTGAGGAGTCGGGGGAAGCAGAAGTCTTGATGTTCTTTCTTCTTGGGTGGGGTTAAGAGTCTCTGAGTTGGATGACATTGGGTTTGTTTTGGTGAAAAGTAGTGGGCTACGGCTACTAGGGGTGGACTGCTATGTATTCTTGATACCCGTTTCTTGCAACACGCATCACTTTTATTATTACCCGGTTCATTCGATTGGAGAGCGGTCTTGTGGCCGGATAGATCAGCCCATGAAAAGCTAACGGAAGTAGGGGAGTTCGTGGTCACTCCCTTGTCTTCTGTAGACTTCCAGCAGGTGGAAGGCGAGAATCATGAGCCAACCGAGGTGATGACCATACACAAGAGCCGCTCTCCTCCCCAGAAAAGAAAACAGAAACAGTTTATGTACACGGAAGAAACTATGGAAATAAAGATGTCATATCCGTGAAGACATGGGTATACAACAACACCAGCAATACAGAAAAACCAAAGTGTCATTAGCGAATAAGGCGGTTCAGCCATTGATCAAATCACGAAACCGAGACATAAAAGAATCACAGATAGTGCTGGCTCCCCAGCGCTGTGAAGAGTAGAATATTGCTTGGAAGTCTGGGGTGGCGTCGAATAACGAGGCGCCAGTCGAACTCAGAGCGAGGTGGGCAGTTACATCTGCGTCTCTAGAAAGTCGGCGTAAGTATCGAGACTCGACCCAACTAGATCCACAATCGCCCAGCTGGTGTTCCCTTTGAAGGTTCGTGCCCAAACACGCACGATGGCAACGCTCAGCTGCTTCGCTTTATAGGGGTTGGCGATAAAGTCCAGGTCGGGTGCCCCAGGGGGATCAACAGCCATGTCGGTTTCATCCATCATACTCTTGATCCACAGAAGCAGCTTTCGCTCGTGCTCTGACAGTCTCTGCTCGGCCTGGGTTACGGGTATTGACAGCAGCCAACGGCTAAGGAGGAAAGCACACTCCAAGCTACACAGCGAGTGCTGGATGCTCCAGAAGAACGAATGGGTTCGGGCCACAAAGTCAATACCTAGGCGGACTGGAATTGAAAGTGCATGGGCCGAATGCAAAAGAGCCATGATCAGACGAGGGCTTCGTGCTACTGGTGGGGATTCACCCAGAGCTCTCGCGATTTGCAGGGGATCTTGCGTGATAAGACGACGACAAGGTCCCAAGTCAACATGCAACCGAATATAAGCAAGCCCGAGAAGGGCAGTAGACGTGAATGCTATCGGACCTGCCGGGTTTTGAGGATCAATGCTAGATTCAGGTGTGCGTTTCCACAACGCCTTCCAGGCACTCAGAGAATTGTCCAAAGCGGACAAGTCTTCTTGACGTAAGCTTGTCCCATGCATACTTGGGGCAGAGAGGCAGAGCTGACGTGCAAAGAATATTTGCTGGATAATAGCGTGTATCAGGATATAGTTCCCAAGGGGAGATATCGGCGCTGAGGCGCTAGAAGTACTGGACTTGAAGAAAAGTCTGGCAAAAGCCTCCTGGAAGGAGACTTCTGGCCCATGCCTCGTGCGGAGGACACGGCGCCATTGAGCTGCATTTGAAGCCTTCCAGACGTCGTGCGAACAGGGCATGTTCAGCTTCAGCTCGGCGTTAAGAATGAGAGGGGGGATGTTGTACATGATAGAGTGGAGGTTGAAGAAGCAATAAACAATGAATTTGGTCCGCCGGTTACCTTCCCGTCGTATCCAATCTTCCCAGTTGTTCGGGTCGGGGCTAGGAGGTGGCTCGACGAGACCATGTTCTCTCACGAGCCTCGCCAGCGTGCTTTGAAGTGAGAGCATTTCTCGTAACAACTCCGGGTGCCGTTCCCACGAAGCAAACACTGTAAGCAGAAGAAAAGTTCGAATCACTTCCATGTGGGCATCCGAATCTTCGGGTGCATATCCAGAAGGATCCGCTGGGTATAGAGTAGGGTGCTGCTGCTGGAACGGGCTACTGGTATGGTTTGAGGTCGCGGACGACCCGCGAGAGTTGTGAAATCCAGATGCCGGTGACAGGAAGTTCCAGGTCGGACAAGCCACTTGCTTACTATCTCGGCGGTGGAGACGCTGAAGCAAAATGGCCTTGGCTGCGTGGAATAGCTCTATGCCTCGATTGTTTTCAAATCGATAATGAGACCCCGCAGCCGCTAGCGCAAGAGTGAGCTCGGGTGAGCATTTGGCAACGGAGAGCGTGGGGACATGAATGAAAGGAAGATGCTCGTTTAAGCCGTTGATATAACCAGCGAAAAAGCGAGACAGTGCGTGTCTTGAAGGTGGAATGAAGTTTTTGGGAAGAATATAAGCGAATTCATCGAGCTTCGACAGGAAGACCTGACGGTCTGCATTTGATATATCCCAGGCGGGGCGAGGTCCTTCATCACCAAACCCGAGACGGTCATCTACATCATGAGGTTCAGGCTGCAAGGACGGTAGTCGTGATCCAAAATTAGAAAATGACGGCTGTTCATCAGCTGCAGTCCGCGGGTCGCTCATGAGCTCGGGACCAAGTCTCCCCATTTCACGGATGGCTGGCTTTGAGTCCATTGGGAGAGTAGTCGGCAGGATCGGGTCTTCAACCGTGGAGAATACGCCAGAGTCCCAGTCGGACGACAGGCCTACGCTCTCCAGGAAGACAGTGAAGTCTTGAACAGGATCCCCTAAGTCAGCAAGATCCAAGATAGAGGGTTCGACGCCATAATTATCGGTTATCGCTCTCTCTGGGACGTGGGGAAGTGGCTGCGAGGTGCCCACGTTCTGTGAAGACTTGCGGAGCGATTCGAGACTTTCCTGCTCACCCTCCAGGGCAACATGACTTGCAGCGTGGGAAAGGAGGTTCAAGTCATATCCCCAAGAAGGGTTGAAGTGAGGCGTTTCCACAATCGGGGGAGGTTGCACCTGCACCTCGGGAGGCGGCGGCGGCACGGGTTGGGTGTGAATAGGGACAGCGTCGGCAAGCTCTAGCATGCGGGACTCATGATGGTGAGTGGGCTGTATTATGGGAGGTTGGGTCTGAGGGACATCGTGGCTGTTCTGAGCACGATGCTCCCGGTTGGCTGCGGTCTCAGTTGGATGGACTAGCCGCTCATGTCGTACGAGCAGATCACTATGAAATTTCCCCCCATATTAGCGCGGGGCGGCTGCGATGCAACGCGGGCAGCAACTTACCTCCTCGCAAAAGATTTGGAGCAAATATCACATGAGAAAGGTTTCTCCTTAGTATCTAGATGGCACACGTCAGTCTCGCGTGTGTGGGAAGGCCACAAGCAGCCGGGAAAGGCTTCAGGGTTACTCAACGGGTGCGGAGATGGCGCTGGAGGTGTTCCAGGCGCGCAAACGACCGACTGCAATATTCGCAAGACAACGACTTGCGATGAGCGGGAGTGCTTTTCTTCCTCACTTTTCCCGGGGTGCCTCTGTCGTCCTCCATGGCGAATTGCCTTGGAATTGGACCATGTCCTTAGATGGGATTACAGGCGAGCGGGGAAGAAAAACTGTGGGGTCAACATGAGGGGGTTTTGCGAGTTACGGTCACGTGGTGCCCTCCCGCTGCCTTCCGCCGAAAGGAAAGCCCTACCACTCATTAATTATTCTGTCTACTACGTGTGGAGGCCAGTCGGTTCTCTCCTCTCCCCTTGTCAATTTAGGTCACTTTCCCCGCGATATTCCCCCCTGTCGGTCTTCAAAATTTAACCTCAGAGAAGGGCAATGCGGGCGATATTGCTGCATTGTGCGCCGGTTAGGTCTCTACGCAGATTTCCTGCACATCCCTTGGACGAAAGTTGACTCCGCCATCCCCACCGGTGCGGAGATGTTTACTTTGGGCGTCGATATCACGAACATCTCCTCACAGAGGCCCGCACCACCAAGGGGAGTCCAGTTGGGGTTACAACAACACTCTGAATTTAAATATCATATGGGAGATAAAGTAGCTGTGCACAACATAACTATGCCAACATTTCTAGCTACATTATTACTTACTATAGCTATTGCATGACTGGGGTTAGTAGTACTTTCTGTATCCGACAAGCACCCGCTCCTCGGAGATATATATCATGTACAACAATGTGTCCAGCCTGAACTCAATTAGGCCGATCGTCTGCAGTCACGGTGCTTATCTTTGCTCATTCCACAACGTTTTCATCAGCTGCCATATGCTCCCCCACCTTCTTTTCTTTGCACACTACTATCTCAGCCAAGGACCAAATCAATGACATCTGTTGCATACGTGTACTACAAAGAGGGAGGTAGTACTAGACATGCGATATTCGGCAATAATACACTTTATTATATCTTTAGCCAGGGGAATAAGGGGCAGAGTATTCCTCCCCTTAGCAATCCGTATTATCGAAAGCCAATGTTTCAGCTTAAGCGGACGCCAAAGCATACCAGGTAACTCGTGATTCCCTTATGGACTACTACTAATAGTACCTTCGTAGTAGATGGTTGAGGTGAAGCTGTTCCTGCCTGAGCGCCAAGGTATCTGCTCGGTAATCGGACTGAAATGAGCCCCAAAGCTGATTTGTCCCTCGTAGCCCCTTGAGCTATCTTTAACTCATCCCATCTGTCGACCGCTATCCGATTGTGAATAGAGCGGAGCGGTCCTGAGTCGCAGCAGCCGAAATTGGAAATGGACGGGACACAGATGGCCGGATGGTTCAGATGCTGAACCGTCCCACCCCACCGAACCCCCAGAACTTGGTACCGAAACGGGGCTACGATCTATCTACATCGATTTACACACCTTGCTGCATGAAATAAAAGCTCAGGGTCGAGAATGGAGCATGCTAGTAGATATAGGGTATGCCTCTTGAATTGAACGAGCTTTGAAGCGCTTGTCGATTAAAGCTAGACTTGCGAGTGGAACAAGTCTATTGACCAGTGGTAATTCTCGTAATGCCCATACGATAGTAGGCTGGTAGTCTCCATCATTGACATTATTTTCCTGACCCAAAGAATACATAATATATATGGTACCTTGGGATATCTTCGTATAAAGTTCGGTACCATATTAGGGTTTACTGGAGCATCCCTGCTTATGGCTTT